AACAGCTCCAGGCAGGCCACTCAGGAGGTGCTCCAGAAAAGGCATTATTATTACAGAGATGACAGCTCCATGTGTGTTACTGCCTCTGAAGACCTTTCAGGGGGACAAGCCCTGGAGTGGAAGACCGTGATACTGATGCTCCTGACCCTGTGTAGGCCTGGACTAATGTGTATGGGTTTTCATTTTTAACAAAAATGTTTAAAAAATTTAAGAAAAATTAAAAAATAAAAACAGCATATAGGAAGTGATGTAGAAAAAAACATTTCTGTACAGATCTGCAATGTGTGTTTAAGCTAAATGCTATGATAAAAGTCAAAAGTTAAGGCTCAGTGCCTGTAGCTCAGTGTTTAGGGTGCGGGCCACATACACCAGGGCTGGTGGGTTCAAACCTGGCCTAGGCCTGCCAAAAATAATGACAACTACAACTAAAAAAAAAGCTGGGCATTGTGGCGGGCGCCTGTAGTCCTAGCTACTTGGGAGGCTGAGGCAAGACAATCATTTAAGCCCAGGAGTTTGAGGTTGCTATGAGCTGTGACACCACAGCACTCTACCAGGGGTAACACAGTAAAAGTCTGTCTTAAAATAAATGAATAGGCTCGGCGCCTATAGCTCAACCGGCTAAGGTGCCAGCCACGTACACCTAAGGTGGCGGGTTCAAATCCCCAGCCCGGACCCGCCAAACAACAATGACGGCTGCAACCAAAAAATAGCCGGGCGTTGTGGCGGGCGCCTGTGGTCCCAGCTACTTGGGAGGCGGAGGCAGGAGACTCTCTTGAGCCCAGGAATTGGAGGTTGCTGTGAGCTGTAATGCCACGGCACTCTGCCCAGGGGGACAGCTTGAGGCTCTGTCTCAAAAAAAAAAAAAAAGAATAAATAAATAAAGTTAAAAAAATTGAACTTTATAAAGTAAAAAAGTTATAATAAGGTATTAACTCACATTATTGAAAAGCTTTTAATTTAGTGTAGTCTACGTGTACAGTGTTTATAAAGTACAGTAGCGTAGAGTAATGTGGTAGGCCTTCACACTCACTCCCCACTCACCAGAGCAACTTCTGCAAGTTCTATTCATGGTCAATGTCTTACAGGTGTGCCATTTTTTATCTTTTCTATCATATTTTGACTGTACTGTTTCTATGCTTAGCTGCACAAATACCACTGTGTCCCAGCTGCCTGCAGTATTCAGTACTGTTACAGGCTGTACAGGTTTGTAGCCTACGAGCAATAGGCCACAGAACATAGCACAGGGGTTAGCAGACTGGATCCCCTAGGTTTGTGTGAGTACGCTCAATGCCGTCTGCATGGAGAGATGCCCAACAGTGTCCTTCTCAGAATGTATCCCCACCTGTAAGTGATGCACAATTGCATATACTTGGTCTCTGCTCCTGGTTCCTGGCCCACAGCTCCTCAGACTCTCCAGAGTGATAGAAGAGTGTTTTTTGTATGCTAAGTATATGACTGGGAGCTGGGGGCTCTGCAACAGCTTCCGGATCGGGTATGGTCACTAGAAAGACCAAGACAATCAAGGCAGTTTGGGATTTTGGTTCCACATCTCAACCTCCAGGGAGAGGTGAGGGACTGAAGGTCGAGCCCATCACCAATGGCCAATGATTTTTCTCATTCATGCCTACTTAATGATGCCTCCACAAAACCCAAAAAGACAGGGCTCAAAAAGCTTCTGGATGGATCAACACTTGGAGATGCAGAGAGAGCAGTATACCCAGAGAGCACAGATGCCTTGTGCCCCTGCCCCCTGCTTCTCTCCTTTCTGTCTGTTCCTGTGTATCCTTTGTAATAAACAGGTAAATTGAAGGAGTTTGCCAACCTTTGTGAGCTGCTTTGCCAAATTAGTGGAGCCTGAAGATGGGGCTGTGGGAAGCTGGGAGCTGAGCAGCACAGATTGCAGTCTAGGGCTTTGATGGGCATCTGAAGCGTGTGTGTGCGCGTGTGTGGGAGGGGGTCTCGTGGGACCACACTCTTAATCTGTGGGATCTAACGCTATCTGCATGTGGAGAAAGTCAGAACTTAATTCAATTATAGAGTCAGAAATGTGTGGGGTGTGTGAGGATAGGAAAATACTTTTAGTCTTTCCTATCTCAAATACCATGTGTTAGACAAAATAGTCAAAAAAGAACAAAAATTGGATTATATACAGTGTCCAAACAATTCGACACTAATCTGAGAAGCTATTTCATAGCTGAGCAGTTCTTTTCTAAGTATTTATGGGAAAATCCCTTAATATTAGTTATGGTGACATTTTAAAAATATGAATGAAAATGGATGACAAAATAATGATCTCATTAGGATACTTTCAGAACTAATTGTAAATTATTACAAAATTACAAATTGTGATTTTTTTTTTTTTTGAGACCGACTGTCACTATACCGCCCTCAGTAGAGTGCCATGGCATCACAGCTCATAGCAACCTCTAACTCTTGGGCTCAAGTGATTCTCTGCCTCAGCCTCCCAGGTAGCTGGGACTACAGGTGCTCACCACAATGTCCAAATAATTTTTTTGTTGTTGTTGTTTTCAGGCCTGGGCCAGGTTCACACACACCAGCCCTGGTGTATATGACTGGTGCCCTAACCACTGAGCTACGGGTGAAGTCAAATTGTGAATTTGTTAATGGTTATAAAGGCTTTCTAATCCATATGTACTAGAATGGTTATAACTTAAAAACTGGAAAATGATGAGTGTGGCCAGGATGTGGAGAACCTGAACCCTTCTACACCGCTGGTGAAGATGTAAAGTGGACCAAGTTTGGCAGTTCCTCAAAAAAAGTAAACAAAAGGACCACATAGCCCATTAATTCCTTTGTTAGGTATATACCAAAAGGTTTGTAAATAAGGACTAAAACAGATACTTGAATGTCCATGTTTATAGCAACATTACTCTTAAACAAACGAGGTGTCTTCAAATGATGAAAGGGATAAAAGAATGTGCTGCACCTTACAACATGAATGAACCTGAAATGTCCTCTAAGTGAAACAGAACAGAAATAAAAGGACAAACATTACATGATTTCACTTACATGAAAATCTAGGCTTGGCACCTGTAGCCCAGTGGTTAGGGCGCCAGCCACATATACTGTGGCTGCTGGGTTCAAACCTGGCCCGGGCCTGCTAACCAATAATGACAACTGCAACAACAACAACAAAATAGCTGGGTGTTGTGGTGGGCACCTGAGGTCCCAGCTACTTGGGAGGCTGAGGCAAGAGAATCGCTTAATCCCAAGAGTTTGAGGTTGCTGGGATGGCCCTCGACTGAGGGTGACATAGTGAAACTCTTATCTCAAAAAAAAAAAAAAAAGTAAGTCTGACATAGCTATTTCTGTCAATGAGTGTGCATTTTTCGGTCACTGCCTGTCAAACACTGGGTCTGACTCATGCTTCATTCCCATTTCCAGTGTGTCAGCCTGTCCCTCTGACCCTTCCTTAGCTGAGTGTGTCCTCATTTTTTACAACTACTTTGGAAACCAGTTTTGCTATATCTGCTAGCACTTGAACATTTGCATATCCAGTGACCCAGCACTCTCACTCCTGAGTGCACAGCCACAGCCTGATTTGTACTAGCCCAGACTGTAAACTCGCAATGCCCGACAACAGTGGAATGAGTAAGTAGGTTGTGGCAAGCTCACATAATGGCACTCCACTATGCAGCAACAAGACCCAGCAATCCACAAGTACGTATAACAGTATGGATAAGTCTCACAGATGGATGCTGAGAAAGAGAAGCCAGAAACATGATTTCATTTATAAAACGTCCAAAGGCAAGCAAGAAGAATCTATGCTTCAGCACCCAAGACAACAGTTACTTTTAGAACAGAAAAGAGCCCTTATAACCAGAAGGGAGCCCAAGAAAGGTAATGTGTTTCTTCTTCTTTTTTTTTGAGGCAGAGTTTTGCTCTGTCGCCCAGACAAGAGTGCCGTGGTATCAGCCTAACTCTCTGTAACCTCAAACTCCTAGGTTCAAATGATTCTCCTCTCTCCCCCTCCAGAGTAGGTGGGACTACAGGCACCTGCCACAATTCCCACCTAATTTTTATTTTTAGTAGAGAAAGGGTCTTGCTCTTGCTAAGGCTGGTCTTGAACTACTGAGCTCTGGGGATCCTCCCACATTGGCCTCCCAGAGTGCTGGGATTGTAGGCAGGAGCTACACAACCAGCCTTTTTCTTTCTTTGCTGAGATGAGAGGGCCTTGCTATGTTGCTGAGGCTGGATTCAAACTCCTGGGCTCAAGTGATCCTCCCACCTCAGCCTCCCATGTAACTGGGATGGTAGGTTCACACCACCTTGCCTGGCTTGTTTTGTTTCTTGATTTGTGTGTAGGTTACATAGGTGTATACAATTGAGCTATACAACTATGACATGGCATTTTTATGTATAAACATCATAATTTACTACTAAAAATCTATTCTAGCTTTTGATATTATTATAATGACCCAGCACTGATTGTATCTCTACCTCTAGCGTCTCTCCATCTTTCTGCCCTTTCCAATAGGGCTCAAACCCACTTGGGAAGTTCATCTACCCAAAGTGTTTTTTTTATCTTAGCCCCTCCTTGTACCCATCTGGTACACAGAAAGACTGACCTTCAATGGCTCCCACTGACTTACAGAATAACATCTGTAATCTCTGATTTAACCTCACTTTCAAATACTCTGTATCTCCCACTCTAAACCTTCTCCCTCATTACTCCCCATAACCTACCATTTCACTTGCTATGCCCTCCTCTACATTCCCACCACCTGTTATTTGTACCTTTGTTACCTCATCAAATACCTACCCTGTGATAGCTCATTGTCATTTAATGTTTCGTTGTGATGTCTTCTCTTTTTAAATTCAGGTATAATTTACATGGACTATAAATGCCAGTTTAGTAAGTTTTCACAACTGCCCCTTTCCAGAAATCTCCCTTCCCCTAACACAGAAAACTAATTCTCTGAATTTGTACAACCATAGTTTTGCCGTTCCTTGATGCCGCATACATACCTTTCTGATAATTATATATTTAAATGTTCAGGAGAACATTCAGGAGACCTCAGAGTAGAACTAAAGGGTGATGTAGAAAGACCATGTCGACGCATCTCTTGGACTGCTCGCTCTCTGTCAGGAGAGATCAAACAAGAGAGATTATACACAAGCACCAGGAAAACTCAAAAAGGGATACATAATTATAAGGTGCTATTAGTTAATTAATAATTTCTATTAAATTTAAATTCTATGTCTTTGTATGATATTTAATAGTGAATAAAATATCTCAATTAAAAGAATATACATTATAACAGATAGTTCACAATCAATTATGGTATAATCATGTCTGAATGGTAGGTGGTTGTTAAAATAGTATTTTGGAAGCAAAATGCTCACAATATATTTTGGGGAAAAAAGTAGGATACCAAGTATACACACAGACACACATAAAAACACATGACTAGATGTTAATCCTAAAAAATGATAACAGCGACTTTAAAGTAAAACTTAGATAATTTTAATTTTCTTCTCTATTCTTTAAAATAAGAAAAAGTTGTGGCCAAGCACAGTGGCTCACACCTGCAATCCTAGCACTCTGGGAGGCCAAGGCAGCGGATTGCTTGAGCTCAGGAGTTTGAGACCAGCCTGAGCAAGAGCGAGACCCCATCTCTACGAAAAAGAGATTAGCAGGCACCATTAGGTGGGTGCCTGTGGTCCAGCTACTGAGTCCAAGAGATTGAGGTTAAAGTTGTTGTGAGCTATGATGATGCCACAGCACTCTACTCAGAGCGACAGAGTGAGACTCTGTCTCAAAAAACAAACAAATTAAAAAAAACTTAAAAGCTTACACACCAGCAGACAAATCCATACCTTACTGACCTCCCCCGTGGCTCTGCACTGGTGACCATTCTTGGCTTCCATGACTGTCATGTCGGCGTGTCCAGTTCTATTTCTTCCTAGATGGCCATTTCTTAGTTCTCTTACTAGATCCTCTGCTGCCGTCTATACCACCCAGGGCTAGGTTTACATTCTCTTATCCTATGCTTTTATAACCCAACTACTCTCCCAAATCTCCATCTTCGGTTCTGTTTTACAGTCCATACTACCTAAAAGTGTCTAGTGCATATCCCACCACCGATGCCCAACATACACTAAACTGTTTCCTGACTGATTCCAGACTTGGCTGGTTCCACCCTCCAGTGTGCCCATGAAATCCCACACTCATCTCTCTCCCTGCAGTTAGATGCTGTTTTTAAATGTCTATATACACGTGTCTGACTTCCCCTGAGGCAGTTATTCATTTGAGTGCCTTCTTCAACTGGTATTCTGGCCCATAAGGAAAATAACAGTATCTGAACTATTATGCAGAGACACAGCCCATAATAACAGGCTCTTTTTACCTTTATCCTGAGCTGCATATAGAAAAATGGGAATACTAAATCCATTCAGTTGATTCTCTGGTGTTCTAGCCCATCAGATCACCCTTGCATGGCAACCTTCCTCTTGTTTTTAGGTATATAACATTCACCACCTCCCCATCAATTCAAAGACAGCCATTGAAACTTCTGTGTAGGGGTGATCATGTTGTATTTGCACTTCACTAACTTCTCACTTCAGCCCTAGGGCCATACTTTCAAGATGATTGGTTCCTTTCTCTGCCTCTTCCATTCCCATTTCTTCCTGCACATAACTCAGCCCTTTTCCTTCTCCCTGCCTCAAAACTCCCAAATGCCAGTGGTCTAAGATCTATTTTCTTTCTCAGGCTTCCTTCCTGTGTCTGGGGCTGCCCTCTCTTTTGCAGGCTATTCAAGTCTCTGACCTAAACTGTTTCTGCCTTGAGTTCTTCAGTCAGTATCAAGGACTTCTACCTAGTTCTGTGTTTGTCAATCTTTTTTTTAATCATTCCTCTCTCAAGAAAACTTTTGTAGACTTTCTCCCCCACCCTGTGAAATTTTAACATACAGATACATTGTTCATGTTCTGTAGCCCCCTGGAGGCTCATTCATCATTGTAATACCTTATACTTTCTTTTTTTTTTTTTTTTTTTTTTTTTTGGAGACAGAGCCTCAAGCTGTCCCCCTGGGTAGAGTGCTGTCGCATCACAGCTCACAGCAACCTCCAACTCATGGGCTCAAGTGAGCCTCTTGCCTCCGCCTCCCAAGTAGCTGGGACCACAGGCGCCCGACACAACGCTTGGCTATTTTTTGGTTGCAGCCATCATTGTTGTTTGGCTGCCCGGGCTGGATTCGATCCCACCACCTTAGGTGTATGTGGCTGGTGCCTTAGCCACTTGAGCCACAGGTGCCGAACCCTTATACTTTCCTAAGATTTCTTTTCTCCTCCTCCTCCTCTGACTCTAATGACTAATTCTCTTCCCCCACCCCCAGGCAGTGGTAGCATTGCCCCTATGAGAATATACAACTTAATTGGATGGTAAGGAGGAGAAAAGACATAGTTATGTGGCTCAAGCTTTCTTTCAGGGTCAGGGGCAATAAAAAATGGAAGAGAGTTGGGGAGGCGGGGGTGGTGGTGGTACTATAACCTCCTGGTCAACAGAGAGCTTCATTTAAGTTTGCAGAGAATTTATGATCAAGAAATGGAAATCACTGTATGTGTATAGTACATTCAGAAACTAAATCTTCTAAATTACAAAAAATTAACAACACAGCTTTCATGTCATTGCCGCAAGCTAAGGCTCTGTTTCTCTTATAACAAAACTGATTTCATAGCAAATTCCCTCTATACCTCAAATAGCACATTACTCAAAAGTCGTGATTTAAGCTGGGTATAGGGGGGTGTGCCTGCAGTCCCAGATACTCAGGAGGCTGCCAGGAGAGAACTTGGAGGATAGCTTGAGCCCAGGAAGTAGAGGCTGCAGTGTGCCATGATAGCACCTGTGACTAACCACTGCACTCCAGCCTGCGCAACACAGGGAGTCTCCTTAAAACAAAAAACAAAACAAAATAACAAAAAGCTGGGCACTGTGGCGGCTGCCTGTAGTCCCAGTTACTCAGGAGACTGAGCCAGGAGGATGACTTGAGCTCAGGTGCTTGAGGTTACAGTTAACTATCATGATGCCACTGCATTCTAGCCCAAGCAAGAGTGTGACCTTGTCCTTTCTTTAAAAAAATTAAAAAATTAAAAAAGGCTTAGCAAGGTAGTACACGCCTATAGTCCCAGATACTGGGGAAACTGAGGGAGAAGAATATCTGAATCCAGGAAGTCTGAGGCCAGCCTGAACAATAAAATGAAACTCACCTCTTTTTCTTTTTTTTGAGACAGAGTCTGATTCTGTTACCCTGGGTAGAGTGTCACAACATCATAGCTCATAGCAACTCTTGGGCTTGAGTGACCCTCTTGCCCCAGCCTCCCAAGTAGCTAAGACCACAGGTGCCTATCACAATGTCTTGCCAGTTTTTCTATTTTTAAAGAGATAGGGTCTCGCACACGTGCCCAGGCTGGTATTCAACTCCTGAGCTCAGGCGATCCACCCATCTTGGCCTCCCAGAGTGCTAGGACTACAGGCGAGAGCCACTGTGCCTGGCCTAAAAAAAGTTTTGATGTCAATGGGTTAAGAATAGGACTCAAAAATTGACAACTGACCTGATAAGCAATTTGACCACTACGCACTATTTGAAGAAAAAAAAAAATCACCAGAAAGCCTTTACCTGTGGTATTAATATAATGGGAAAGAGTAATCAAAGTAATTTAGCAACTGATTTGAAAATCAGACATCAATTTTAATTATTAAAGCAGGACTTATTCCTGTTTATAAAAGTATAAACATTACTAAACTGTAGGGAAAATATTGTACAGGCTAAGACCACAGGCTTCAGAATCAGACAGACCTGCCTAGACCTTAGTCTCTCCATTTACTATCTGTGTGACCTTGGTGTTACACAATATAGGCCTAATAGTAGATTGTTGATGGAATTAATCAGATGTGTACAGAGTATCCAGCATGTTGTTTGTCATCTGGTCACTAACACCACAGGAGTTGTATTTAGAGCGTCTTACTGGGACTACACATCCTAGGGACCCTTGTAGGGATTGTTGCTGACCCCTTATGTATATCCTTTGAAATAATGCCCTAAGTTTGCCTTGTGCCATGACATAAGAAATATTTATACACTACTTGATACTTTATATACTGCAGGAACATCATCTTCCACAACACTTCTTTGTTTTTTCCTTTTTTTAAGAGACATAGTCTCACTTCATCACCCTTGATAGAGTACCGTGGCGGTCACAGCTCACAGCAACCTCCAACTCCTGGGCTTAGGTGATTCTCTTGCCTTAGCCTCCCAAGTAGCTGGGACTACAGGTGTCCACCACAACACCAGGCTTCCACAACACTTATTGCCTTATTAGGAAGAACTACCAAAGAAATTTGTGTATTACCTAAAAAAAGTTTTTGTTATTTGTAAGCCATACTAAATCCTTTTTGGGATAAAATAGGAAATAACATAAATACACTGTCCAATGCTAAAAACTGTTTTCTTACCGTTCGTATCTTTCATTTGAAATCTGTCTTTTCAGAGTATCATAATCCGTCTCTAACTGTACCACTTTAGCTCGGAGCATGGCATTTTCCCGAGTTTGACTAGTTCTGAAAAGAAATTCAAAATCAAAGAAAGATATAAAAAAGGTCTGTTTTGTGGAGTCAAGTGCTATGGATTTTTTATCAATAGAAATGGGGGTGATACTTAAGGGTAGAAACAGAAAAATCAAGATCTTATAATAATAATTCTCTAAACTTCCAGAGCTTCTAACCATGAAGTTTATTTTTCTCATCTGGTTAACTTAACATTTACTGAATTTCTATTCTAGTATGTGCTCGGCACTCCAGCAACACTGGGGCTACAAATTTGTATAAGACATGACCTAGAGATTATCTTCATTAGCTCATCTTGACTCTTGCCTCAGAAAGAGAATTTTTTTTTTGTTTTGAGACAGAGACTCACTATGTCACCCTTGGTAGAGTGTTGTGGCGTCACAGCTCACAGCAACCTCCTACTCTTGGGCTTAAGCGATTCTCTTGCCTCAGCCTCCCAAGTAGCTCAGACTATAGGCGCCTGCCACAATGCCCAGCTATTTTTGTTGTTGTTGCTGTTACAGTTGTCATTGTTGTTTAGCTTGCATGGGCCAGATTCAAACCCGCCACCCTTGGTGTATGTGGCTGAGACCGTAACCACTGTGCTATGGGCACTGAGCCTGAAAGAGAAATATTTTTAATTCCTTTTAAAAGCATATTCTTCTACCTATACTATTTACTCTGGGATTCCTCCCCCTTTCTAACAAACATCCCCAAACCTCTCCATTCTTTTTTTTTTTTTTGAGACAGAGCCTTAAGCTGTCCCCTGGGTAGAGTGCCGTGGCATTACAGCTCACAGCAACCTCCAACTCCTGGACTCAAGCGAGTCTCCTGCCTCCGCCTCCCAAGTAGCTGGGACCACAGGCGACCACCACAACGCCTGGCTATTTTTTTTTTTTGGTTGCAGCCGTCATTGTTGTTTGGCAGGTCCGGGCTGGGGATTTGGTGTACGTGGCTGGCGCCCTAGCCGGTTGAGCTATAGGCGCCGAGCCCAAACCTCTCCATTCTAAAAAAGGTTAACACCCGATATCCTTCCTCAATCAAATCATGAGAGTCAAATCTCATAGCCTTTTCTAAGTCTTTTTCCTCATCTACAGCCTGAGACGCAGCTGCCTCTTCCCATCCTGAGATGCTCTTTTGTTCACTGACTCTATTCTTTCCTCAAATTCAGGCACTTCCCTAAACTTCTTCTCTTTCACTCCCACTGTACTACCTCTATGAAGATACACAAATCTGCACCTCCAAACATGATGTCTCTCCTGAGCCTTTCCCCCGAATTCCCCAAAGCAGCTGACGCATTAAGTCAAATGTTTTGGTTCTGTGCCAACCTTTCAGATCCTCATACCTTTCTCCCTCCTCAAAAAAAAATTGAAAAATTATTTTTGACAAGCTATTTTCCTCACATAGGTTGATGTATAACACTTACGATTTGCTTTCTGAAAGGGTTAACTTCTCTTTAAGTAGCTGAATTTCTGTATCCTTCTCATGGGAAGTTAAATGAGAATGAAATTCTTTATCTCTATTTGTAGCCAACAATGATTCAAGGTTTTTAACAGTTTGTCTCTCATTTGACAATTGCTTTTTCAACAGGTCTGTTTCTGATTTTACATTTTCTAATTCCACTACAGCCTATAGAAAAACAAAGTAAGATTACTTCAGTGCAATTTTAGACTTACCCTGAAAAATTATTTATCTGACAATACTCTGCAGAGCTATTCACCCATCATTTATTTCATTTTGAGTACTGGTTAAAGATTTTGAACCATTTTTTTAACTATAGGAAAAACATTTTATTTTCAAAACAATCTCTGTTACTTTTAAAAACATCTTTCTTGGCTATAAGATCCACTCCAACCCTCAAATAGTTTTCAGTTATGCTATCCTGTCAAGAGACAATGATTCTAAATTAGGCAATAAGGCCCTCTGGTTTATCATTTAATTATTCTGACTACACAGTCAAGCCAGTATTGCAGCTTCTCAGCACCTGAAAATGAAGATACTAGCAGATGGGTAAAAACTGCAAACACTCATGTTTGAAAACATCTATTAGGTTGTGTGAAGAAATGCCTTGGTCTGAGAATAAAAGGTTCTAGCTAATTGTTTAAGACTGAAACATCTTGAGGTCTTCTCAATATTCCACTGAGAAAGCATTCAAGTCTTAATTTTAAACGGAGAAAGAATGCAGTGGGATATGTTTCTAATCTATAACTAGAAAATTCAGCATCTCCCAAATATTCTTCTATTCCAAAACAGCACCTAATTTCATCATCATGATTGCCAGGGAAATCTTCACAAAGAATCTAGTGGTCAAATACAGTTGTGAAAATCTTGTAGTCAAAGGTAACTACTTCAAAGGGGAAGAAATCTACTGGATAGTGAGTGGTGCAGTAAAACACCTGGAATAGGGCTCCATAAAGTCATGTGCCAAGATAACGTCTCTTTTGCTCTTACCCTCTCAAGCTCAAGGTTTTTGGTGTTCAATTGTTGGGTCATAATATCTTTGCCTGAATCAAGCTTAATGCAAAGTTCTCTGAGAGAAGACACATCATTTAAAACTACTGCTTTCTCTTCTTCTTGACATCTCAGCTCTTCTTCTAATCTAGAAATGGCTTTTGCCATTGATGAGATCTGAGATTCATAAGCATGATGGGCATTTATGTGCTGAAAAAAGAAAAAGCAACAGGTAAAAAGTTAACGTAACCCAATAATTTTAAGCGCTTACATCTTTGCATGCACAAGCTCACTTCAGTAATATGGCTCTCTCTTCTGAGAGCCAATTTCTGCATATTTAAAATACTCAGGAGGCTGCCTGCTATTTAAAAATGGCCTCTTTAATGACATGAAGGCTGTGTTGACCAGTTTGATGGAAGTATTTCAGATTGCATGTGAAAACCCCACACTGTACCCCAGAAGAGCATTAATGTACATAGTTATCATTCAATAAAAAAAAAAATGGCCTCTTTAATACTTAACAAGAGAAATTGTATATAATTACTACTCATGGTCATTACGTATATACGTATATACGTATCTCAAGTATATATTTGGAAGATACTAAGATAAAAATTACTGTGCCAGGGTGTGGTGAACATGAGGGATTTCTGAAGTTATATTAAGTTTTTCTTTTATAAATTCTCTTAACAATAATAAAGCCTTCTCAAGAAAAAGTAACAAATATGCTTACCATTCCCCAACTGTCGTCAGTTAAATTCTAAGCTTCAAAAATGGGGGTTATTAAAGCTAAATACCTGAAGTCATATTTAAATTTAAGTTAATAATATAAAACTTTATAAAATTTTAATAATGCTGAAATAATGAGCAAAATTTGAAAAACTGATAAAGATTTTTCTCCTGGAAAATTGAAGTTTCTCACAATTTAAATTGTGAATGATAAATGCAAAGTGACATAAACTCTACTAGGTTTTAGGAAGAATTTCCATACTTGAAAAATGAAATTATTTGAACAGACTACTGAAAGGAATCAACATTAAAAATCAAATATTGTGCTGTGAAGTTTAATACATTTAAACAGTTGCATAGAAGTAAATACTTGAATTTTCTAAATATTAATAAAGTTCCCCCAAACAAACATAATCCATAAATGAAATTTCATATATCACATTAGGAACATGAACAATGACAAAGAACAAAAGAATTACAGAACAGTTCCTGAGAAACTCATTTGAAGGTTGAAAAGCATTCTTTTAAATAGTATGCTTTTCTTTTTTTTTTTTTTTTTGAGACGGAGCCTCAAGCTGTCCCCCTGGGTAGAGTGCCATGGCATCACACTCACAGCAACCTCCAACTCCTGGGCTCAAGCGAGTCTCCTGCCTCAGCCTCCCAAGTAGCTGGGACCACAGGCGCCCGCCACAACGCCAGGCTATTTTTTTTTTTTTTTTGGTTGCAGCCGTCATTGTTTGGCAGGTTCCGGCTGGATTCAAACCCGCCACCTTAGGTGTATGTGGCTGGTGCCTTAGCCACTTGAGCCACAGGCGCCGAGCCTAGTATGCTTTTCTTAATAGAAAAACTTGTCAGGCAGCACCTGTGGCTCAAAGGAGTAGGGCCAGCACCCTACTGGTGGTGGACACATTTCTACCTTTACCCTCTGGTCCCACCCCAATTCATGTCATTCCCATGTACAAAATAAATTCACTCCATTCCAATATTCTAGTATCAAGTCTATGTCCAAAAATCTCACCTAGGGAAGTGCCTGTGGCTCAAGGAGTAGGGCACCGGCCCCATATACTGGGGGTGGCGGGTTCAAGCCGGGACCTGACCAAAACTGCAAAAATCTCACCTAAGCGTCATGTGAAACAGGTATGAGAGAGACTCTGAGTATGGTACACTTTGGGGCAAAATTCCTCTTTATCTATACACCTTAGCACTAGAAAACAAGTTATCTGCTTCCAAAATACGATGGCAGGACAGGCCTAGAACAGACAGTCCCATTCTGAAGTAAAGAAAATATAAGGATGGCTCGTCGCCTGTGGCTCAATTGGCTAACGCACCAGCCACATACACCTAAGGTGGCGGGTTCGAATCCAGCCTGGGCCCGCCAAATAACAATGACTGCTGCAACCAAAAAATAGCTGGGCGTTCTGGCGGGTGCCTGTGGTCCCAGCTACTTGGGAGGCAGAGGCAGGAGACTGACTCACTTGAGCCCAGAAGTTGGGAGGTTGCTGTGAGCTGTGATGGCATGGCCCTCTACCCAGGGGGATAGCTTGAGGCTCTGTCTCAAAAAAAAAAAAAAAGAAAATGTAAGGAATAAAAGAGTTATTATATTAGTCCAAGCTAAGTTTGCAAGCAAACACGCCAAATTACAATAGCTTCTAAGGCCTAGGATGGCTCCACTGGATCTCAACGTTGAGCTACAGCCCCACACTCTGGGCTCTCAGGGCTGGTGGCCCTGCCCTCTGGAACCAAGGAGGCCTCATCTCTTGGGCCTCGGCCCTCGGGGCTTGTGGTGGAAGCACAGCAGCAGCTGTGTCTGAAGCCTCAGAGGTGCCCTGCAGCCCTGCTGGCCTCTGAGCTCTAATAGTCGTTCTGTGTGAAGATGAACATGTTTGCAGCCACGTGCTTCTACTGGCCTGTTTTCTGCTAGTAGGACCCCAGAAGTTCAACTTCTTCCCTCAGCTGACTGTGGGAACTATTGACTATACTCATGAGTCACATACCTAATCTCTTTCCCAGGAGGTTGCTACCCACACTCTTGGCCCTGTCTCCAGGCCATGTGAGGCTGAAAATTTTCTAAAATCATCAAGTCCTAGTTCCTTAGCAATTACTTTATCAATTTCTCTCTTTCCTCTCACATTTTATGGAAAGCAAAAAGGAGAAACCAGCCGACCCCTTCCATACTTTATTTGGAAATCTCCACAGCCGAATGTCCAAGTTCATCACTTACAAGTTCCTTTTTCTTGACAATAAACCATCACTATGCAGACATTTAGCCAAGTTCTCTACCTCCTTTTAACAAGTGTTATCTTTTCTCCAGTGTCCAACACATGTTCCTCAATTTCATCTGACACCTCACTGGAAGAAATATTTTTATTTCTGGCAAAACTCCATTCAGGACAATATATGTATGCTATAAATGATCCAAGTTTTTTCCATAGCTCTCCTCTCTTTTTTTCTGAGTCCTCACAATTGCCTTTAATGCCCGTGTTTCTACCACATATCTCTTCAAGGCAATTGGGGCCTTTTTTTTTCTTTTTTTATTTCCAGTTAAGGTGAGGGTATAAACAACTATGTTGCAATATTTGCACATGTTTAGATAGAGTCCCTCTGGTAGTTGTGTCCCACACCTAAAAGATGTGCCAATACCTTTACATTGTGTCCATTAAATGGGAGTACACCCAGCCCCCTCCCCTCTCCCTCATTACCCCTTCCCACAACTTGAATTAAGTTTTTCTCCTGTATGAGCATAAATCAGATCGTCTACTGGCTGCATATGAGAATTGAGTACATTGGGTATTTGCTTTTCCATTTTTGTGATACTTTGCTAAGAAGAATGTTGTTTCAACTCCATCCAGGTTAATACAAAAGATGTAAAGTCTCCATCTTTTTAATGGCTGAATATTACTCCATGGTATACATATATCACAGTTTGTTAATCCGCTCCTGGGTTGATGGGCATTTAGCTTGTTTCCACATCTTGGCGATTATAAATTGAGAACTGGGGCTTTTTCAATCAAGCACCTCAAAACTCTTCCAGTCTCTACCCATTAACCAGTTCCGAAGCCACTTTTGTATTTTTAGATGTTTGTAACAGGAGCAATCCACTTTCTAGTACCAAAATCTATTCGTTTAGCATTGCTATAACAAACTCACAAATTGGGTGGCTTAGAGAACAAGCTCATTCCCTCATAATTCTGAAGCCTAGAACTTCAAGTGTTGGTGTGTTTGGTTCCTTCTGGAGATTCTGAAGCAGAACTTGTCCCATGACTTTCTCCTGGTTTCTGATGACTATTGGTAACTCTTGGTATTCCTTGACTTGTAGACACATCACTCCAACTTCTGCCTCCACCTTTACATGGTGTTCTCCTGTGTCTTGTGTCCAAATGTCTCTCCTCTTATAAGGATATCAGTCATTAACTTAGTGTTCATAACCCATTATGAACTCATTTTAACTTGATTCTACCTGCAAAGATACTATTTCCAAACAAGACACTGGGGGTTAGTACCTAAAAGTACCTTTCTGAAGGCCATAATTCTGTCTACTACAGATAGTCAACACTTTCTTCTAAAAGATCAAGATTACAGAACTATACCAAAAAAACAAAACAAAAACGAAACTACTGGCTGCCTATTCTGCATCAGTCTAACCGAGGGTTCCTAATTTTTACTAAACTCAAAATTTTATTACAAGATTTTTAAAAGACTGTCTTTATGACAAAAGCTTGTTTAAATCCACAAGCAAAAAAATGATGGTGGATCCTTACTTTATACTATTTGTAAAAACTGACCCAAAATGGATCAAAGATTTGAACATAAGATAAAGCTGTGTATCTCTTAAAAGAAAACATGGGGGAAAAGCTTCCTGACACTGGATTTAGCAATGATTTAGTGGCTATGACTCTAAGTATATGCAATAAAAGAAAAAATAGATAAAATTAGACTTCAAAAAAATTAAAAACTTATGCAACAAATACTACCAACAGAGTGAAAAGGCAACACATAAAATGGCAGAAAATATTTGCAAATCACATAGTTAATAAGGTATTAATCTCTAGAATATATTAAGAACCCCTACAACAATGAAAAACAACTGATTAAAAAAGAACAAAAGGTCTGGGTGTGGTGGCTCAAATGGCAGAAAATATTTGCAAATCACATAGTTAATAAGGTATTAATCTCTAGAATATATAAAGAACTCCTACAACAATGAAAAACAACTGATTAAAAAAGAATAAAAGGTCTGGGTGTGGAGGCTCATTCCAATAACTCTAGCACTTTGTGAGGCCAGGATGGGAGGGTTGCTTGAAGTCAGGAGTTCCAGGTCATCCTGAGCAACACAGCAAGACCCCATCTTTTTTTTTTTTTTTTTTTGCAGTTTTGGCCAGAGCTGGGCTTGAACCTGCCAACCCCAATATATGCGACCAGGGCCCTACACCTTGAGCCATAGGCACCGCCCAGCAAGATCCCATCTTAAAAAAATTTAGCTACTTAGGAGGCTGAAGCCCAGGAATTTGAAGTTGCTGTGAGCTATGATGACTCTACTGCGCTCTAGCCTAGCCAACAGAGTAAGACCCTGTCTCAACAAGAAACAAAAACAAAGTTATGAATAAAAGGCATATCTCTAGTCATATCTCTAAAGATGATATACAAATGGTCAATAAACAATGAAAAGATGCTCAGCATAATTAATCATTATGAAAATATAAATCAGAATTACAATGAGATATCTCTTCTCCTCCATTAAGATGGCTAGTCTATATTAAAAACAAAGAACAAAAAAGAAGAAAAAAATAAAATTACAAATGTTGACAAAGATATGAAGAAGCTATAACCCTTGTGCATTGCTTACTGGTGGAAATATAAAACTAAATGGTCATCCGATCTAGTAATTCCACTTCTGAGTATACACACAGAAGTGAAAGCCATGACTGGAAGAGGTACCTGTATACCCATGTTCAAAGCAGCATTATTCTCAATAGCCAGAGGTAGAAACAAACCAAATACCCACTGACAGATGAATGGATAAACAAAACGTGGTACATGCACACAATGAACTGTCACTTAGCCCTAAAAAGAATGAAATTCTGCCACACACCCCAGCATGGACGAACACTGAGGAAGTGAACATTAAGGCTAAGTGAAACAAGCCAGGCACCAAAGGACAAATATTAGATGATTCCACTTATAGGAGGGACCCAAAGTCAAATTCAGAGACGGAAAGTCGGGTGGTTGCCGGGGGACAGGGTCGGGGAGAACAAAGAGCTAGTGTTTAATGGGTGTGGAGTTTCAGAGGAGAGGGTGACAAGCACTGGAGACAGATGGTGACAATAGCTGCACACCAATGGGAATGTACTTAAGGGCATAGCACTGTACACTCTAAAATGGTAAAAGAAAAGGTAATGGGACTCCTAAGCAAATTATCAGAATGACAAAAAATTACCACTGAACTTGATATTATCAATGCTTACAATCTCATGTCAATGAAGTATTTCTGAATGTTTTGTTTTACTAAATAATATCTTTACAGACAAGTGGATGTATTTATTACCTCTTGAATTTCTTTTTCTAATAGCTCCACTCTTTCTCGAAGGTGTCTCCTCTCTGTGTCAATAGAAAGCAGCTCCAGTCGGACCGAGCTGCTTTCTCCCTCAGCCTGATGGGCTTTCACCTCCCAGTCTTCTGCACGGTGATGAAGCATCTGAAATCTGTCTAACAAATCTTGATTTTCTTTTTCCTGGTTTGAGCATAACAAAATTGTTTCTAAATTAGTAATTGCCACTCTCTGGAACACTCAATCATAAATACACCCCGTCCAGGAATTCTGTTCTACTTTAGGAAGCATGAGCTATCTGTGCAGGTACTATATTAAGATCTATGGAGAAATATAAAAAGACAGTAGGCAAGATCTCCACTCTCAAATGCTTGATATCTAATAGTAGAAACAGAATAAACAAACAAGTTTTTTAAAAAAATCACTCTACAGTCCAACTTAATCTCTTTTCACCTTGGTGGCCATTAAGCTTTCCCATCGTGACACCTCAGTTATGTAACTATGAACTCTATTCTTCATATCTTCTTTTTCTTGTACTGCTGTTTCCAACTCCAATGAGATTTCCTATAAATTAGAAAATTAAAGACAAATCTAAAATGAACACACACCAAATAAGTTCTATTTATATTTAAATAGCTTCTTTGGAATTGGGGAATAGGAGAGAGTAGGAAAAGAGGAAAACTGTTCCTAAGGGTTATTTTCATATATTTTACCTGGCTGATATTGAATTTTTTTTGGTTTGTTTTTTGAGACAGAGTGGTACTATGTCACCCTTGGTAGAGTACTGCGGCGTCATAGCTCACAGCAACCTCCTACTCTTGGGCTTAAGCAATTCTCTTACCTCAGCCTCCCAAGTGGCTAAGACTATAGGCACCTGCTACAACGCCCAGTTATTCTTTTTTTTTTTTTTTTGCAGTTGTCATTCTCGTTTAGCTGGCCAGGCTGGGTTTGAACCCGCCAGCCTGGGTGCATGTGCCCAGAACTGTACACTATGCTACAGGTGCCGAGCCTGATCTTGACTCTTCTTTTTTTTCAGTTTTGGCCAGGGTGGCTTGAAGCCACCACCCCTGGTAAATGGGGCGACGACCTACTCCTCGAGCCACAGGTGCCGTCCCCTGATCTTGACTTTTTAACCAAACTTTACCACATATCTCCTACAATAGTCCTAACCATGTATCTGGCATTTATATGAAAGGATAGCTCAGGGGTTGGCATTTAAAACAAACTCATATAATAGCAATATACTTTATAATGAATAATGCTGAAGTATTATTTTATTTAGTTTTTTAAAAACAAAAAATATTTAAAACAGCAAAAACATGGGTTGTCTTGATATAATTCTTTAATAAATCAGTACAAATAAAACTAGTACCTTTCAATATCTGTCATTCTAAAATATGTATTCATTTATTTATAGATGTTATCTCTAAGCCAATGGAAGTAAGCACAAATAATTATACTCCATCATGTGTCTTTTAAACACAGAAACTGCCCTGGGAGACTGCAGAGGGTCTTATCCAACAGATGGCAATGGTTTTTGCCATAGAAAATCCCATACTTGGGAAAATCCCAAGGTTTAATTTTCCTTGCAACAAATGTCAAACTGGTGAGAAGATCATGCTTGTACCCATTAGACATACTGTGTTTACAGCAGCACTCTAAACTACATTTTTTAATACCCCCAATAAATACCATCCTCCTTTAAAAATTATGCATTTTGCTTATACATGCACATTATTAAATTTTATTATTATTTGGGGGGGTTGCAGTTGTCACTGTTACTTAGCAGGCCTGGGCTGAGTTCGAACCCAGCACCCTAGGTGTATGTGGCCGATGCCTTTGCAGATTGAGCTACAAGTGCTGCCCTGCATATCATTAAATTTTACAAAAAATTTAGATCTTTAGTACGTAGCAAAGAAAGAATAGGAATTATTGTGTTCATACCTGGTTCTCTCTCGACATTGTAGCCAAATCATCTTGTAATCTTCTGTTTTCTTTAAAAAGTATTTCTCTCGCTTTTCCTACTTCATCAAGTTCCTTGCGAGCAGTATCCAGCTGGCGCAGGAGGCTGTTTATCTCACGTTCTCGATTACTCACTGTTTCCTTGAGTTGGCTGTTGTTAAGAGTGATGTGGAAATAATAAGAAAAAAACGCTTTTTGGAAAACTATAGTTCACTTTTAAAAAAACGACTGAAGACTAAGTATACTTAAAATGCAAGCTATATTAGAAATATAAGAAATTGTAACTATTGCATTAAAATATTAATTAGGTAAAGAGCTCTACCAATCATTATATGCAAATTAAGTCATAAAAAAGTGTATATTCCAAAAGCTAAGTAAACAAAGAAAATTTTTTTAAGCATTAAGAATGAAATACCTAATAGTTAACTGGCAAATATTTATGAAGTATTTACAACCACCACTAGTCCATAAAAACTAGGGGTATGTAAAATGAATAGAAGTGACTTACATCTTGAAATGGCTTACAATCTTTCTGGAGACTAGATATCAAATGTAAAATTTTGTAATGATGTTTAAAACAGGTTGAGATGGAGAACAAATTCAAGATTGGCTATGAAGGTAATCTACAGTTTGACGATCAGTGTTTGAACAGGGTAATTACAATGAAAATAAAGAGCAGATAGCTAGGTAGAAGAATAGTTAATGAGACATACGAGTTTCGATGTCGATGACAGAAAAGGGAGAAGGCTAAAACATATTGTCAAATGGGAAACTGAGAAAACTTTGCTGCCATTTCTGAAAAAGGAGAAAGTAAGAGAAGAAATTTTCCTATTACAGGACTGTTACTACATAGATCAAAGCTTCTAAAAAACCCAGGGGCCATTTCATTACCTACTTACTTTATACTTAATTCACACTCTGAGACTGTTACCGTCATCTGAGCAATAGCTTTTTCCTATAGGAAATATAAAGATATATGATTCAAACCATTCATATAGAAATGTCTAAATTATATTCTAAACCATTCAGATAGAAGTGTCTTAATTTTTATAATTTATCACATTTATATAGTGAGATATGTAGTTCAATTACATAAATTTTGTTATAAAGGAAAGCTCCAAGTAAATGTATATCTAAGACTCAACCGCACATCACTTTACATGGTTCTACCCACCCCCCAAATGGTTTGCTTTAATGAGATCTCATAAAATCATGCTCTAAGAATAGATAAAATTACATTCTGAAGATTTAAACTACTGGAATAAAGTAAAATTTAAACATACTGAAAGACATGGCCCCGAGTTTTAGGAACTTGTATGTGTTTGATAAGAACTGCATATTTGAAACAGAAAATAATCTTTTCTGTTCAGATGCTAGAAAATGGTATTTAACAATCACGTACTTTAGTAGCTAGGGTTTCCTGTAAATTTGCAATCTTTTCTGTCTTCTCATCTACAGTCTCCTGAAGAAAGTCTTTTTCTTTATCAATAACACCAATGGTCTTTTTCATTACATGAGCCTCCTCATCCTGTGAAGTCATCTTAAGGTTTAGTTTATCTATAAATGAAAAGAAATACTTGTTAGACAAGGTAAATGAGCATTAGCAAAAAGAAAATTTTAAACCACTCACCCAGATTTTGTTCCAGTATTTTAATTTGTGCGTGGGCTGATTCAAGTTCCTCTCTTTTTATGGAAAGTCGGTGTTGACAGTCATCAAGTGACCGCTGTAGCTGCTCATTTACTATCCTGAAGAATCAGTGGACAAAAACAAATGGCATTCTTTATCTCTCAAAGAAATATTTATTTATTTATTTATTTATTTTTTGGAGACAGAGCCTCAAGCTGTCACCCTGGGTAGAGTGCCATGGCATCACAGCTTGCAGAAACCTCTAACTCCTGGCTCAAGCGATTCTCTTGCCTCAGCCTCCCAAGTAGCTGGGACTATAGGCACCTGCCATGACGCCCAGCTATTTTTTATTGCACTCATCATTGTTGTTTGGTAGGCCCAGGCTGGATTTGAACCCTCCAGCTCAGGTGTATGTGGCTGGCGCCTTAGCTGCTTGAGCCACAGGAAATTTTGAGAACTAAGTTGTCAAGAAAAATGAACAGTTTCTTAGTTTTGAATAGCAAAGGGAAGAGATGACTTCCCTCTAATGAGTGCAGCAATAAAACTGAACTGAGGTCCAGTTCTAGCTCTTCACTTATCAAGGCCTGTGACTGGGTAGGTCCAACTCTCTGAACTTCCCACTCCTCAGTTATACTGCCTTACATCAACCTAAACAAGCTCTCATTCTAGGGGACAAAATAATTATTTCCCTTCATGATGTGGTGTATTTTAAAGGATCCTTTATTCACAAGAAGTGTTTTAAGTTTTAAAATGGAACTGAGTCTCCAACTGACAAAGGTAAGTTTGGAATCTGAATGGCCTATTGGAAAAAAAGAGACAGATGGTGGTGGTCACAGGGAAGAAGCATCTATCTTAGTTCTTCCTAAACTCTAATGTATGAAGATTGTGATCAGAGCAGCATAACAGAAAAACCAGAGATGTTCTAGACGAGCCTTTAATACGATATTCTTTAATCTACCACACATATCTTTTTCTTGGGCTTACTTCATTAAGTCATTTGATGATTAGGGAGCTCTTATGAACTACAGTCTCTGACCTTTCTTTTCCTAATTATTCCTTTGATCCTTACTTTTGCTGTTTATTTTAATTTTATTATATATAATTTTGTGATTCTTACCTTTTCTATATTAGATCTTTTTTATTTATTTTTAAATTTGGGGGGATCATTTTGAGTTCTGGGTGTATTTCTTGAGTTTGTTTTCTTTTTCACCAACTTAGTTTTCTGCAATACTCAATCCATTTTTTAAAAACTCATTGTAGCTACTCAGTCCAGAAAAAATCTAACTTTGCATTCTCTATTTGTTTCCTTGAGTCTTCCGTTCTAAATTGATTAAAGATTAACCAACAATCAAGTATCCTAAGGTAAACATTCTGCTGTATTTTCCCTCTCATTCCCATATAAGTCATCTCAGCCTTTGATTTTTATATGCAGAATATTTTTTTTTTTTTTTTTTGTTGAGATAGAGCCTCAAGCTGTCTCCCTGGGTAGAGTGCCGTGGCATCACAGCTCACAGCAACCTCCAACTCCTGGGCTCAAGCGAGTCTCCTGCCTCCGCCTCCCAAGTAGCGGGGACCACAGGCGCCCACCACAATGCCTGGTTATTTTTTGGTTGTAGCTGTCATTGTTGTTTGGCGGGCCCAGGCTGGATTCGAACCCGCCATCTTAGGTGTATGTGGCTGGCGCCTTAGCCACTTGAGCCACAGGCACTGAGCCCAGAATATTTCTTAAATTTGGCCTCAGTTCTCCAAGTTCTCACCACTGTTTCAGTCCAGACCCTTGGGTGCCACTGTTTGTCATCAGTCTCTAATACTTTAAAAGTCCATTTTAAATAGTTTCACCAGTTTTCTTCCTAAAAGGCACACTGCACGTGTCCCTCTCCCTGGTTAAAAATAAGAAGTTAATTTCTTCTTAACTTCTTTGAAGTCAGAAAGAGTTAAAAATAGGAGATAAATAATCAGACTTTACATTTCTTTTTTTCTTTTTTTTGAGACAGAGCCTCAAGCTATAACCCTGGGTAGAGTGCCATGGCATCACAGCTCACAGCAACCTCCAACTCCTGGGCTCAAGCGAGTCTCCTGCCTCCGCCTCCCAAGTAGCGGGGACCACAGGCGCCCACCACAATGCCTGGTTATTTTTTGGTTGTAGCTGTCATTGTTGTTTGGCGGGCCCAGGCTGGATTCGAACCCGCCATCTTAGGTGTATGTGGCTGGCGCCTTAGCCACTTGAGCCACAGGCACTGAGCCAGACTTTACATTTCTTGAAAAGAGACAAGAAAAAAATTCTGTAATTTCAGTAATCCTCCACTATGGAATACAAATGATCTAAAGTAACTGTTGAGGGGGATTTTAAGAGGAAGTGGATCCAAAAGCTTGCCTACAATCATATTAATATATGACAGTTTTGAAAAATATGCATACTCAATTCCTATCCAGATTTATTCAGTGAATTAGAACCTCTAGAAATAACCCTCTATACTCCATACTTTTCAAAAAGCTTCCAGATGATTCTGCTGCAAGGTCAACTTTGGAGATGTTGTCAAGTCCAAAATGCCACATAACCACAAACATGTTTCCAGAAATAAAATAACATCCAATAAACTTACCTAAGTGAGTTCATCTCTGTTTTGTGATGAGATGAGTCACCCGTTGCAAAGCTAAGTCTTTTAGCTTGAAGTTTTGATTTGTTCTCTAGAGTGTCTATTGTTTCTTTCATCATTAACATTTTAGACTTTAATTCACATCTTTCACTTTCAAGCTATAATTTAAATTAAAAAATTAATAGGTATATATCTTAATATCTTAATTTTATTATTCTTAGACACTCTAATAATATTTCTGGATGAAAACTAAGGAAATTATTTAAAAAAACATTTATAAGTTATGTGTATCGTTTAGGTTCTCGATGTCAAAATGGGCACATGCATTCATCTCTCTTCCTCACTTTCACTGAAATTAAAGAAAAGATATAAATTTAAAAAAGGAAAGGTAAGATAGGGATATATCTATAACAGCAATGAAATGGGAAGGGAAACCCTAGCAGAGTGAAAATTGTGAGAAATCTCAAAAAAACAGTAAGTAAATAGGACAGAATTGAGGAAAAACCAGAGAACAAATTATGGTAACCAAACATAAGATTTATGTGAGAGAACAGTAAATTCTTCCTGCAGGACATGAAACATGATTTAATCTCAATATACATCATGTTTCTGGATGGGAGTGTAATATTGTAAATGTATTAAAATTTCTTCTAATAAGCATAGATTCAATGAAATTCTAGTTTTAAAAAATCCTAACAGAGCCTTTATTTTAATTTTTTTATTTTTTATTTTTAAAGACAGGTGGCTTAGATTTGATTCTGGCTTCATTTAGGAAAAAAGAAAGTTAAGAAAAAATGTGAAGAGAAAAGAATGAAGGTAGACTTGCCTTAAAAGATACCCAAACAAACTATATTGATACTAATTAAAACAGTGAGGATTTCACACAGAAACAAACACGCAAACACATGAAAGTGGAAAGAGTAAACCTCATGCACAGATGTTATTTAGAAAAGGCAGCATTTTAAAGAAGTAGCAAAAGAATAAACTATTTAAAAACTAAGCGTAGGGACAGATTCATGGGAGAAAAAAAGCCAGATGTTTACTTTATTTTAGATGCGAAAGTAAGTTCCAGAATCTAGATGGAATAATGACCTATGCATACATTTCAAAATAAAAAGTACTAGTAACCGATGTCAAGTCTTTGAGTTAGAACTGTGGACTGACCACATATCCTACCTCCTCTCCCTATGGAAACATTGCTAAAATGGCAACAAAGGAGTAAGAACAGAAAGCTCAGGAAGGGAGGTCTTCATCAGCTGAAAAAAATTGGAACCAATAAGCCTACGGTAGAGATGTTGGAGCTTTTGACAAAATTTAGTGATAGGTTCGATGAAAACCTGGTAAGTAACAAAATGCAATGCAAAACAAAAAAAGGCAACTATTAACTTCTAGAAAAAGAAGATCTACAAGATAAAAACAGTGCTTTATGGGCTGTATGTCCTTTTACCACTACTCAATTATAGCACAAAACAGCTATCGACAAATTTACATAAATAAATGAAAAAGGTTGTGTTCTTAAAAAATTTATAAAAATAGACCTGGAAGCCATAGTTTGTTCACCTTCGGGTAGGGTATGTACCCAGAAAGAGAATCGTTGGTTTACAGGGTATGTATGCCTTTACTGGATAATACCAAATTATTCTACAACGAGGTACCAGTTTGTACTCCCAGAAGCTGCACACATTATTTGCTAATACTTATTACAACTTGTTAATTTCTGATGACCTAACGTAAAATGATTTTACTGTGGTCTTAATCCATCTCTCTCCTATTTCTGAGGTAAAACACCCTTTTATGTTTATTAACCACTTGTAAATTTCTCCTCCATAAAGTTTTTATTCTTATCTTCTGTTTATTTTGGTAGGTGGGGATTAAATGTATAATAAATTATTCCCTCAGTTAGTGGCTTGGCTTTTCAATTTATGGTTAGTAAATAAACAGAGATGTTTTTGTCAATGAGGTCCTACTTATCCATGTTTTTCTTTAGAAAATCTGTGTTTGGATTTTGTTTAGGAGCAGACACTCCAGCACCAGACACCTATTAGTTGTTTCATCGTGGGCAACTCTGCCCTCTGCCTGAGTTCCCTCATCTGTGAAATGAGGATAATATTAGCATTTACTTCATATAGTCATTGGGTAAATTAAAATAATGTGTACACAATGGAATATTATATAGCTATAAAAAGGACAGAATCTTGCCATTTGCAAGAACATGGGTGGAACTAGAGAAAATGATGTTAAGTGAAATAAGCCAAGCACAGAAAGACGTGACCTCACTCATATGTAGAAGCTAGATATTAAAAACAACTGATCTCACAGACACAGAGAGTAGAATGATGGTTACCAGAAGCTGGGAAGACTTGCAGGGAGGAGGGATAACGTAGGGATGGCTAATGGGTCCAAAACCAAAGTTAGATAGATAGAATATTTGATATTTGATAGCACAAGAAAGTCACTATAATCAACAGTAAGTTAGGGTAAAATAACTTAAAGAGTAGAATTAGAATGTTCCTAACCCCCCAAAATGCCTCAGGTGACAGATGACTCAATCATCCTAATTAGATTAATTCTCATTGTATGCCTATATTGGACATCACATGTACCCTATAAATATATACTATTATGTACCCGTAATTTTTTATGATGGGTATAAAATGTTAAGAAAAGTACTTGACACATATATAATCTATACACATGTATAAATGACTGCTATTGTTCTTATTTCTCCATGGTCAGAAAGACTTTCTAGTGCATTTCTTTTAAAAAAAAAAAAATGCAATTGTATCCGGAACATTCAAGGATGCAAGTAACCTTAAACTGATTTGGGGGTAAGGTATATTTGAAGGAGGAGCCAATTTCTTCTTTTTAAAATACAAATAGGCAATAGTCCCAGAAACAATTATTAAACAATTATTCCTTTCCCCACTGATCTTTCACAGATCAAATTTCCTTTATGTGTGGGTTTGGAGTTTTATTAAATACAAGCCTCTTAATCCCTATCTTAATCACTATGACTCGCAAGCTTTCGTACATGCAAGCCCAGCACCGTGCTCTTCCTAACATTTGTACACGATCCTTAGCTCTCTGCTTCCATGTACATTTCAGGATCTACTGTCAATTTTCCCACACAAATAGACACATACACACACACCCTACCTTCTTCGGATTTCAGCTAGAAGAATATTAACTGTGTAAATCAATTTGGGAAGAATTTGTTATTTTTATACACATCATATCTGTCATTTTTTTTGGAGACAGAGTCTCATTATGTTGCCGTCGGTAGAGTGCCATGGCGTCACAGCTCACAGCAACCTCAAACTCTTGGGCTCAAGTGATTCTCTTGCCTCAGACTCCCAAGTAGCTGGGAGTATAGGCACCCTCCACAACACCCGGATATTTTTTGGTTGCAGTTGTCATTGTTATTTAGCAAGTCCAGGCTGGGTTTGAACCCACCAGTTTTGGTGTATGGGGCCGGTGCCCTACTCATTGAGGTACAGGCACCAAACCCTTATCTGTCACTTTTTAATAAATCTGATGTATTTCTTCACTTCTTCTTTAATGTCTTTCAATAGTTACATAATATTTTTATAAAGAACCTGTAAATGTATCCATAAGTAACTTATTTATGACCAAGAAAATGATATATATTTTCTTTTTATCTTGAGATTTGACATGTTTTTGGAATTCATTGTGCATTATGAATCAGAGGATTCTTATTTTCATAATATCTGGAAAATTATTAGTGATTATCTCTTCAAATACTGCTACATTCTATTATATGCTCCTTGAATTCTAACTAAATATTAGTCAGAGCATTGGACCAGTCTCACTCTATCCTCTAATATTTTAACTTTTTATTTTCTATCTCCTAGTCTCTTTCCAATGACTTCTAGTAATTTCTTCAGATATATTTTCCAATTTATTAATTTTTGCTTTTAGCTTCTGGTCAAGCTGGAGTGATAGGGATCAGATTTACCCCCCTGACTGAAATAACTTAAAATCTGGATGAAATGCATGAAGCAATTATTTTCAAGAAACTAGGCTTCAGGCTTGGTGCCCATAGCTCAGTGGTTAGGGCACTAGACACATATGCCAGGGTTGGTGGGTTTGAACCCGGCCCAGACCTACTAAAAACAACAATGACAACTACAACAACAACAATAATAAAAAAAAGCCAGGCACTGTGGCTGGCACCTGTAGCCCCAGCTACTTGGGAGGCTGAGGCAGGAGAATCACTTAAGCCCAAGAGTTTGATGTTGCTGTGTGCTGTGATGCCACAGCACTCTATCGAGGGTGACACAATAAGACTCTGTTTAAAAAAAAAAAAAAGAAACTAAGCTTTAGGAAAGAAATGTGAACTTTGCAATTGCTCCAGCTTACTGCCCTGAGACCTTCCCTGGCAGTGGGACAGGGAAAGGGACCATTAAAGAATTGGTGGGAACAATACTCAGAGTTCATGCAGGGTCAGGAAACGTTCCTGATCCCACCAGTCATTTGAAGACCCCATAATTCATGGGGCAACAAGTAGCATCATCAAAAAGGTTCTATCTCCACAGCAAAATAAAATTAGTGTGAGATTAAAAGCTAGTTTGGTCCCATCTATGAAGCTTAAAACCAAGAGTGAAAAGGATCAGGCTACTTCTGAAACACATCCAGAATAAAGCTCAAAACTTTCTACAGGCATACAAGCTATCGAGCAACCAAGGAGGTAAAATTCACAATGTCTGCCAGTCTAAAATTATCAGGCCCACGAAGAGGAAGAAAAATGTAACCCACGATGAAGTGAAAAGCCAAATTAGAAAAGCAAATAAATTCAAGTAGTGAAGACACCATAAAAGAAACTAGTGAAAATGAAACACACACAGAAAAAAAGACTCAGAAAACATATCAAATTATCAAGAATCCTACCTCTAAAGATAACAAGGAAGAATGGAAGGCGAACTGTACTTTTTACTGCCTCTATCTGTGATTTTTATATGAGAAAAACAACAATAATCATAACTAATATCTACTAAGTGCTTATAATACACACTCTTTTAAGTTGTTCATATGTATTAACTAATTTAGTTTTCATAAAAACCCTATAAAGTAGTAGTACTATTTCTTTTTATAAATAAATCCAGAGACAGAGAGGTCAAATAACTTACAGGTAACAGGAGGCAGAGACAGAGTTGAACCCAAGTAATCACACCCTCCTAAATACTGTTATACAGCTTTCCTGGCAGATTATTTTGTAATTTTAAAAACACAGTATATTAAAGCTATAAATGACATAGTTACTCACACAATACAATATATCCCAAGTACAGTTTAACAAGTTACCTGATGATTAACACATGTCAAATGTTCAATAGTTTTTTCTAATTCTGACTTTCCATGAAGACTCATTTCCTGGACACTCTGAAAAAGAATTTTATAGAAAATGTTCACTTATTATCAGATAATAAAACAAAATTCCCAAGGTAAGGGCTATTATATTCTATTTGTCTTTGTATAAAACATAGAAATGTTTTAGAAAGAAAATCATTACACATTTAACAAAAATGATTCTGATTAAAAAAGGCACAATAGGTTTTCATCTTTTTCACTATCTCCATGTATGATTACAGTAAAAGACAAAGACTGGTATGGATTCATACTTAAAAAGATTTACACAGATCAATCCATATTAGCACAACTATAAAAAAGAAAAAACCATCAAGCTCAGCAGCAACCTCAGGAGCATACCCTTACCAGAGGAGGTGTAAGAGAAACAGAACGCAAAGGAAGAAAAAACAAGATCAGACAGACCTAGGAAACAGAACACCACATGGCCATGTGAGAGATCACAGTTTCAGGGACAGGCTGGCCAACAGTTTAAATACCAGGGCTGTCTTTCTGGTTATTTTATGTAAGTCTAGCATAAGCGATATAACTGGGTGCTCACTGGGAGTTTTTCCAGCACAGATTCAAAAGACATCTGATGTTTGAATTATATGTTTGGTTTAAAGGGTCACTATACTAAATGCATTTAATCATTTATTAAGTCACCCAGCTTGTACTGAGTACACATACTCCATACCAAGCAGCAGGCAAGGTCTTAAGAATACAGCAGCGAGTAGAATAAAGTCTCTGGCTTCATAGATACTATAGCCTACTAGAAAAGACAACCTTTCAACAAGTCATAAAATTCACGAATATTCTGCTAGGAAAGGGAACTTTATACTAACATATCAAGAAGGAATCTGGAGTCTAGGCTTCATTTCCTACCTGAGGAAATGATGTTAAAACTAGACTTACACAATGAATAGAAATTAGCTAGATAAAGAGACTGACAGGTATGAAGGAACCTTTCAATAGCCTTTGTAGAAAGTTAGAGGCAAGAAAAAGTCCATTAGGTCTGAGTCTTGAAAAAGTAGGGTAAGGAACAAGGAACAGGAGTTTGGAAAAAAGCAGCCAGGCCTCAAAACAGAGAAGGGTCATTCCCTGACATCTCTGAAAACAGTTAACGGATTATAAATAGGAAATGACACGATCAGATCTATACACATACCTTTGAAGGATGACTGACTTCATCGTGAAAAATAGATTTGAAAGAGGCAAGACTGGTACAGAGGCCACAGATACAATAACGCGGGGGAGAGAGAACAATGATCCTAACAGGAGGGTAGCAGGGAAATGGAAAGAAGTAAATAAATTCAAGAGAAAGTAACATGAGCTCAAGAGCCAGACTCCCCGAGACTCACAGCTGGTGACCTTGGGCAACTTAGTCAAATTCACTGTAATTAGAAGACCACCTCTGTAACCAGTACCTATCGTAAAAAAATTTACTGAGACAGCCCATGTGAAAAGCACTTAGAACAGTACCTCCCACGTGGGAAGGGCTTAATAAATGCTCAGCATCATCTAAGAGGTAGAACTGTTGAGACTTGGTGTACTTGAGAGGTGAGTTTCAGGCACAGCTTAGCTCTGGATTTGACAACTTAGATCTAGTTAGACAGCAGAATAGGAAATGAAAGAGGCTAAAGGCTTGAGATGACTAGTACGGTTTTTAAGTGAAAGACCTGGTGTAAACTCACAAAATCCTGCCTCGTACAACCCGTAAGGATGCCAGTAACATGAATGTCACTTTTTTTGAGTTTTCAGTAGTATTGCATTTTTTAAAACCTATTTTTATATTCCTCGGTCATTTCAACAAATATGGAGAAGGATAAGGCAGTAGCTTGTGCTAAAACCTGCCAAGCTGCACAGAAGTTTTCCATTTGGTAATTTCAACACTTGTTTTTATAACACTTTCTAGAGTGCAGTATTCCAAATGATTCCAATTAAAAGTATTCTTAAACTGCATTTTGGGGATAAAACTAAAAATCTGTGACACAAGGACTACTCTTACAATGCTTAAATGTTTTTATTCCTAATTTTGGCTCCTACTTTCTTTTTTTGTTGTTGCAGTTTTTGGCTGGGGCAGGGTGTGAACCTGCCACTTCCAGTATATGGGGCTGGCGCCCTACTCCTTGAGCCACAGGCACGACCCCATTGGCTCCTACTTTCAAAGCATTAATTTAGTAATACTGATTGAAAGTAAGCTATGGAATCTATAATAACAATATTTAGTATTTAGAACGTGTTAAGCACTGTTAGGTGCTTTATACATATCAATATATTTATTTTTTTATATTAAAAAAATACATAAACTACTGCCCCTAGATACGATATCAAATGCACAAGAAACAAAAGAAAAAATAAACTGGACTTCCTCCAAATTAGAAACATTTGTGTTTCAAAGACACCATTAAGAAAGCGAAAGGAAAAAAAAAAAAAAAAAAGCGAAAGGATAACCCATAGAATAAAGAAAAGTATCTGCAAATCACTTATCTGATCAGGGGCTGCACTAAAATATATATATATATATATATTTTTTTGGAGGCAGAGTCTCACTTTGTTGCCCCCAGTAGAGTGCCATGGCATCACAGCTCACAGCAACCTCAAACTCTTGGGCTCAAGCGATCCTCTTGTCTCAGCCTCCCAAGTAGCTGGAACTATAGGTGCCTGCCACATGCCTGGCTATTTTTTAGAGACAAGGTCTCGCTCTGGCTCAGGCTGGTCTCTAACCTGTGAGCTCAGACAATCCACCCGCTGCAGCCTCCCAGAGTACTGGGATTAGAGGCCTAAGCCACCACCCCCAGCCCTAAAAATATTTTTTAAAAAACTCTTAAAACTCAATAATGAGAAAGACAACCCAATTTAAAAATTGGCAAAGAATCTGAGTAGAAATCTCTCTAAATAAGATAACTGGCCATTTTTAGGCCAATAAGAACATGAGAAGATGCTCAGCATCATTAGCCACTGGGGCAATGCAAATCAAAGCCACCATGGATACAATCACACATCCACTGGAAGGACTCTACTATATAACACACAAGACAGCAACAAGTACAGGTGCAGGGACAGAGAAATTAGAATTCTCATTCACTGTTGGTGGTAATGTAGTGTGTTCAAGCCAACTTTGGAAAAGAGTTTGGCCTCGGTGTTTAAAGACAGACTACCACATGACCCAAACAAATACTGCATGACTAGGCATACATGCCAGAACAAAGAAAACACACACCCACACAGAAATTTCTACATAGCGGGGCACGGTGGCTACACCTGATTGTTTTGAGCCGAGAGTCTGAGACTGCAGTAAGCTATGATCCTGCCACTGCCTGGGCAACAGTGAGACCCGATCTCAGAGGGGAAAAAAAAGTTGTATACAAGTCTATAGCAGTAATTCTCAAGGATAAATCTGGATAACATTATGTTAATGGGAGAAGCCAACATTTAAAAATCACATACTGAATGATTCAATTTACACGACATACCCTGAGTAGATCTATCTATAGAGATGGAATGTGATTAGTGGTTGTCTATGGCTGAGGAGGCTGAGGGAGCTGAGGGGAAATGGGGAGTAACACTAGTGAGTTATGGTGGTTCCCTAACCTTTTTGGCACCAGGGAGCAGCTTCATGGAAGATAATTGTTTTTCTTTTTTTCCTTGAGACAGAGACATGTTGCCCAGGCTAGAGTGCTGTGGTATCAACTTAGCTTATAGCAACTCAAACTCCTGGGCTCACGTGATCCTCCTGCTTCAGCCTCCCAAGTAGCTGGGACTACAGGTGCCCACCACATCACCTGGCCAGTTTTTTAATTTTTGGTAGAAACAAGGTCTGACTCTTGCTCAAGATGATCTTGAACTCACCCTGACCTCCCAGAGTGCTAGGATTACAGGCGCGAGGCACCGTCCCCAGCCTATGGAAGGCAATTTTTCCACAGGGCCGGCGGGGGGGTGGGGGGGGGGCATTAGAATCTCAGAAGAAGCACATCTCTAGATGCCTCCTGTGCACAGTTCACAGTAGAGTCTGGGCTCCTATGACAACCTCCTGCGGCTGCTGACCTGACAGGAGGTGGAGCTCAGGCTGTGACGTAGCTGATGGGAGTGGCCCGGTAAATACAGATGAAGCTTCACTCTCTGGGCCACCACTCGCCTCCTGCTATGCAAGTCCCAGGACCTAATAGGCCAAAGACTGTTCCTGGTATGCAACCTGGGTTTGGGGGCCCCACAGTTACAGGGTTTCTTTTTATTGTGACAAACATGTTCTAAAATCAACTGTGGTGACGCTTATGCAAGTCTGTAAATATACAGACGGTACCCAATTTACAAAGGGTTTATCAGTATGTAACCCTACTGTGAGTTGAGGAGCACTGGACTTAAAATGGTTCAACTTAAGATTTTTCAAAAAATCTTATCAAGGCATTACGTGCATTTTTTACCTACAATGGCTTTATTGGAGTATAATTCCACTGTAAATTGAGATGCACCTATACTACAAATCACTGAATTAGTAAACTGTATGGTAAGTGATCACCTCCACAAAGCTGTCTTTAAAAAATAAAAAACATAATGTCTTTTTTTTTTCTTTTTTGAGACACAGTCTCAAGCTGTTGCCCTCGGTAGAGTGCCGTGGAATCATAGCTCACAGCAACCTCTAACTCTTGGGCTCAAGCAACCCTCTTGCCTCAGTTTTTCTATTCTTAGTAGAGACAGGGGTCTCACTTTTGCTCAAGCTGGTCTTGAACTCTTGAGCTCAAGCAATCCACCGTCTTGACCTCCCAGAATGCCATGGCATCATAGCTCACAGTAACCTCCAACTCTATCCTGGCTGATAACATCTTTCCCCATGAGCAGCTTAATATTGAGTCTAGGGGTTAGTAAACTTTCTCTATAAAGAATAGGACAGTAATTATTTTAGGCTTTGTGGGTCATACAACTATAGAAGAAGTTATAAATAATATGTAAACGAATTAGCAAGGTATTCTAATAACACTTTATCGACAATAAAATATTCTTCTTAAACCATTCTTAGCTCACAGGCCACACATAAACAAAGTGGTCTGGATTTGGCCTGTTTGCAACTCCCTAATCTAGTTGTACATTCTTAGTAAGTTACAAGAAATATATATAAAGACCTGTCTTTTTCAATAAATTACATTTCAAAATATGCCAATCTTAATACTTACATGTAACTTGTCTCTTAAAGATTCCTTTTCTGCCATAATTCTTCTTAAATCAGATAATGCAAGTTCTTTTTCCTTTTCCATAAGACTAACAATATTATGGGAAGTTGGAGTTAGGGTAGATTCCTGTCTTAGGGCTGACAATTCTTTCTGAGCCTTCAAAAATTAAGATGATATAGATAAGAAACACTTTGGATATGCTCCCAGTTAGAAAAGGCACACTGAACACATGCCACTTTCATTCTCTTCCCACATCCCAACAAAATGAGAGTAAAATGATTAAAATAGTAAAAATAATAAAATCAAAAGTCAAGATCTAGGGAGGTGCCAGCCACAAAATGTTGGAAAGGAGACAGCAGACATACAAGCAGATAACTGTGCAGATCCATGAAAGCTGAGATTTAAGCCAAAAGTGAAAAAAGCCCAGTAGATCAATTTGCATTGCAGAATCCCCAAAAAACTCCAAGAGAAAGAGGTCTCTTCAACCAGCACGTCTCCTCCCCAGCTCAAAGGAGCAGCAGAATTTCATGGTCTCAGGGGCACGGGAACAAAGCTAGGTGACAGACACAGTGCTTTATTCAGACTCATCTTGCCCTCTACCAACTGGTTTTGTAAACAGAGGGAAGCTTTACTGATTCCTTCTTCCCTAGAGTTTTTTCTCTAGAGGCCAAGTCTGTAATAGCCAATGTATCAAAAACGTGGGCATTACCCACTGTTCTGGCAATCAGGTTCCAGTATGTCTGAATCCCAAGTATAAACCTGGCTTAGAACCAGGCTGAGACCCATTCCAGGTAGTTTTAGAAAAGCAGACTACCTTTAAATGACTTGACACATAGGCTAGAAAAGTAGAATAAATAAAGGAAAAAAAATAAGAGAAATCTCTGCTTCAGGAACAGGGTTTAGTAGAAACTGTAACTTATAATTCTAATTATGAAGAAACAGCACAAGGTCCATATATTATAGTATTTTGAAGGATATATACCGGTTTCCTTATAGTTAACTGGTTCTGTATTATCTGTTGGCTTAATTATAAATTTCTTACTTCATTATATAAGACGCTTAGATTATCTCTTTCTGCCGTCAATAATTTAACGTTGGACTGTATATCCTCCATGTATTTTTCAAATTTTTCTAGCATACACTGAAGTTCATCTCTTTCTCTTGTGATCACATGAATCTCTGCATGGTAATCACCCTGAAATATAATTAAAAAACAGAAGCTATCATTTGTTATAATTATCACCACATGGTTGTCACAAGGATGCTGGTGATGAGACCGACTGAAAGATGCTAACAAAGGAAAAAAACCACAAGTTCCTCTAATGTAATTAAGAACAGAACAGATAAAAACACTGGCAGTATTGGAGGAAATCTCCCAGCCTTTAAGTTCCTAGGAAGGGACTTAGAGGCTGGGCAAGGTGGCTCACACCTGTAATCCCAATCCCAGAGGCCAAGGTGGGTGGAATGCCTAAGCCCATGGGTTCCAGACCAGCCTGAGCCAGAGAAAGACCCTGGCAGGCACCTGTACCCCCAACTACTTGGGAGGCTAAGGCAAGAGAATTGCTTGAGCCCAAGAGTTTGAGGTTGCTGTGAGTTATGATGCCATGGCACTCTGCCAAGGGTGACAAGGTGAGACTCTGTCTTAAAAAAAAAAGAAAGAACTTAGTTACCAGTGATAATACTTGGAGATACCTCAGCTGTCTTTCTCCTGGAGTGTTCATACTACTGGTACTTAAAATGTAATGCCCAGACCAGAAGCATCAGTAGTATTCAGGAAGCTTGTAAGACATGCAAATTTGGGGGCCCACCCAAGACCTACTTTGGGTATAGGGTCCAGAAACTATGCTTTCTCAAGTCCTCCAAGTGATTCTGATACACACTAATTTCTGAGAACCACTAGTTTACAATCTCCAGGAAAGGGATCAGGAGAGTGTGTGTGTGCCTACTTATCCAGTGCCAAGTAACTTAACAGCCTAGTACATTTGCCAGTGTTTTCTGTGGCTGAATGTAAAATGGATCTTCTAAGGACATCAGGCCCCAACTAACTGTTCTAGCCCTAGACCTACATGAAGTTTATTTTGACAGTCAGATAAATGGTAAATATTTCTACCATACAGTGTATATCAAAGATGTTCACTGAATAAGCAACTACATCCAACATTTAAACAAGAATATGCCTACTTTTTCAGAATATTCTTACAATTCAAAAGATCTACTCAGCAGGGCGTTGTGGCAGGCGCCTGTAGTCCCAGCTACTCGGGAGGCTGAGGCAAGAGAATCACCTAAGCCCAGGTGTTGGAAGTTGCTGTGAGCTGTGTGATGGTATGGCACTCTACCGAGGGTGATAAAGTGAGACTCTGTCTCTAAAAAAAAAGATCTACTATCTTCACTGTTATTGTGGAAAATAAAAATGATAAATGTAGATTTAGGATCTACAATTTCTTTTCTTTTCTTTTGAGACAGAGTCTCAAGCTGTTACCCTGGGTTCTCGGTTAAAAGGCGTAATGGTGAAGATTAGATATACAACGCCTTGAAGGGCAGTATGTTTAATGGGTTAAAGGCAGACTGGGGTTTCAGGACATAACCAAGATTTAAATAACCATAAAAGACAATGTGTAAACTAACCATATCTATGTAAATATCCTACAGAAAGCTGAGTGGTCTGTAAAGATTCTAGAAAAGGAGAGGTTTGACAGTCTGTTTTCATTACCATTTAGGTCTCAGCTTAAATGTCACTTTCTCTAAGAAATCCTTCCAGATTCTCCAATCTAATTTACATCTCTTTCTATATCCTCTGATAGCATGCTGAACCTTTCCTGTACTTTCTTCAATAACAGGTATCAATGAGATTACAAAGTTACTTACATGATTCTATGTTTACTGTATGCCTGTACCACTAAAATTTAGGTTGTCTGAGGGCTCTACCAGTAGGCATCTGGTCTTGTTTACTGCATCTTCAGTGCCTACATGATACCTGGTAAAATATATCAATTCCCTGAATATTTACTGATTTTCTTAAGCAAAAATTCTAACTCTTCTCTAGATATGTCTGGTAGGTAGCTGTTTCCATTAGTGCTAATGTATAACTGTTAGTAACTCCCTTTTCCCACTCCGTTATTCCCAAACCATGTAAGTGACACGCACACACATCATGTTGAAAGCAACAATTTCTCCATATTCTGTGCCTCCTCCACAGTAGGCGCTCAGGTCAGTATCTATCTGACCTGAATCTAATTTTCCACCTAGATATGGTTTACTTTGGACCAGCAAATAATAAAGAAATAGTCCACTTACTGGGCACTAGTCACTGGACTCTTATACAAATGATCTCATTGACCAAAGGGTAAAAAGTTTCAGATAGACTGGAAGAATAAGTTCTGGTGGTCTATTGTCCTGCCTGGTGACTACATTTAATAATGTATTATATATTTCAAAATTGCTAAAAGAATGTATTTTTAATGTTCCCACTACAAAAAAAAATTAAATTGGTCAGGTGATAGCTATGCTATTTAGCTTGACCAAATCTTTCTATAATATACACATAGATCAAAACATCACATCACACCCCCAAAATACACAAAATTATTTGTCAATTAAAAGTAAAACAAATTATCTCCTTTAATATTCACAAAAGGCTGTAGTTACTTTCCCCACTTTGCAAATGATGAAACCAAGGTTCCACAAAGTTAGGTAACTTCTGCAGGGTCATGAAGCCAGTTGGTGGAGTTGGAACCTGTATCAGTCCTCCACCTCCAAAGCACTTTCAAGGCTAAAGAGGACAGTATCCTCCCAATGCAGACTGACAACAGAGAAGTGATACTAAAAACCACTGGATGTGAGAGTAACCTGGCTGTGGTATCTGTGGGATTGAGTCAGCTGACCTAGCTGGCTAGGGAGGTGTCCTCCCCCTCTCTGACCATTCCATGGGCATCCCTCCAGGAGCTGCATGCTTGGGAAAGAGGATGAATTTCCCTGATACAAGAGGACCGTTCTTTGATCAAGGATATACAAGTAGCCATGCTCCCTTGCTAGAATCCCCTCAAAATGTCCTTTTTTATTAAGTTGTGATGATTCCAAGAAATTGTACCTGACCGTCTGCCATAAAGCAGGGGTTGAAAACTCACAGCTACTATCAAATCTAGTCTTAGAGAAGTCCTTGTTGTTTGCCAACAAAGTACTTCTAAAAACGTTGAAAACAACTAATTCTAGGTGGAAAATACACTTTCTAATTCCCAGGACTCACAACTGCTTTACACAACCCACCCCCCACTTTACTCACATGCTTACTATCTCTAGCATTTGCCTACAATTTATTCCTGGGGCTCTAAAATGCTCTGAATACGCTTGACTTTCTGAACTCTAGAAAATGAATTGTCCATACCAGGTAACATAACCTTTCAAGAAGGCTGAATGAGGGAAAATGTCTCTCCTAATTTTATCGGCACCTTATCAGTATCTCTCACTCATCTGTCTTTCAATTGTGAATCTATACCAAATAACTGAATCAGGAATGTATGTACTGAGGTTAGAAGATATGAGATCTTTATGTACCTAGTGATACTTAATAAATACCTGATTAATCATTTTGTAAAAGATTCTTCTACACAATGAAAACGATCAATTCAGTGACTTATTTTTATAGTATGTATATATGAAATTTGAAACAACTCAGTAACACATAAATAAAGTTGTACTATCTTTTCTCACCAATTTATTCCACTTAGATAACAAAGCATAATGTTTACACTTTAATGATTGTAAATAAAAATACAGCCATTAGCCAATGAGGTTAAAAAACAGAAGTCTAATCAGAAGACTTAAAACTGTTAGACAATGGACATAAAATCTTCAAGAAAAAGATGAGAGAAGTGGGGAAAAATTCAGCCAAGTCTGAAATCTCATGTTTTGAGTTTAATGACTCCCTCCTAAATCCCCCCCAATTTTACCTAGTGTGTGGATAATCTAAGGCCATATAAGCTTTGAGACTCCTATCGCTCCAAAGCTTAAAAAAAAAGGAAAATGAAGAACTCAAATGATACGGCAAATAAGACCTAAAACAGAGACACATGATTTTAATCTCTCATGAATCATGTCAACTTTAAATAATATATACTATGGGAGATCCACTTAGAAACTCATGTACCAAGTGCACATCTTTAGAGTATTAACTTACAAATGTGGTTGTGGAAGACAAACAGAATAACCCGCCCAGCACCACTTGCAGTTTCACCCACCTCCCATGTTGTGTTTCACGGGGAAGATGCCTGCTCAGTAGAATGTGACATACCTTTCTGACTGGTCTACGGACAGACGTGATACCTGCCATGTGGACAAAGCTACGCTGCTACAAGAGGAAAGATGCAGCGGATACAGAATGGAAATCCTAAAAAGACAGGATATAGCCGGCAACATGAGGCCCTGGGTTCTGGTTTCTGGAAGTCCAGAAGCCTCAGCAATTCCCCACAAGTACTCAGCCTTCCCTTGATTTCTAGGTATTGATATGTTACGCTGTACTCAGGTAGGTTTCCTAATTAATGTTCCTACAGAACAGGTCATGGATGAAATCAAAATCAGGAATTGTAAAAATATAAATAAAGTTACATTTCATGTAATAAACTAGAAAAGTTTATTCATAAAGATACACTTTTATCAATTACTCTTATAAAGGGATGTTACCTTTTCTGGGGTTTTACTTGAACTTTTTTCACGTGTATTATAATGTATAGAGCAAGATCGTCGCTGTATTGCATGCTGGAGTCTTTCTAGCTCTTTCTTATAATAATCTCGTTCTTCTTCTATACCTTTCAGAAATGTATCTAAACGAGAAGGTGACCGGTCTCGACGTTTTATTCCGTGTTCTAGTCTCATCCTTTCAACTTCCAAAGTTAGTTCCTTTTCTGCAAATTAAAGTGGTTAAATCTTAAAACAATGTAGTATATGTAATGTTGATTAGCCAAGCAAATTATATTAAGGTTTAGGATGAAAGCTACTAGGACTCATAAATTGGTTTGTATACGGCCTACAAAAAGGAAAATAAAACCCAAAATTAAAAACTGAAACAAAGTCCAAATTAAGTCAAAGTTCTCATGTTTTGTCTTATAACAGGATGGGTATTATTTAGCACTAGAAGATGAAGCAAAAATTACCATGTTGTACTTCTTAGGGACCTGAAAATGCACTGAAACATATCTAAATTAATCATAATATGTACAAATTTAACATTAAGCTTGAATTTAATACAGTATACTCATAAAGAAAGACATCAAAACAAGTTGTCTTTCTCCAAATGGGCACAATTATTACTTATTATAAAAGAGTCAACAGTAACTTCATACTGACAATTCATATATTACATAATTCAACCTAAATTTATTTATGCTCATTATAACTCTGAGGCATGTAATAATTTCCTGACTTACTCTGATTCATTCCCATCTCTTCTTTTCATTCAACAGGTGTGTACTAAACATTTACCACATGCCCATCACTGGCTAAGGATTAAAGTAAGAAAAACATAGCTAAGGTCAGTTATTCTAATTGTAGAAGGATAAAAGCTACAAAAGGACATTGTGCAATGCAAACTGGAGGATGAACTGGCAAATTCCTCCCAAGAAAGAGTGAGGAAAGAGGTAAGATGACAGAAAGAGAGTGGGAAACAATGAGTAATTGTGTTAAATGTTAAGAAACCAACTAAGGGACCGAATGAACAGCACTCATTGTATTTAGCATAATGGTGATGAATGATGACCCTAACTAGAGCAGCTTTACTGGTAAGGTGGCAAGAGAAGTCAACTGGAGTGGATGGAGGAGCTAAGGGGTCACAGGTGATCAAGGAGAAACAGCAAGCACAGATGACACTTCAGGATGCTGAAGCTAGGCTGGGCGCCGTGGCTCACAACTGTAATCCTAGCACTCTGGAAGGCCAAGGCAAAAGGATCCCTTGAGCTCAGGAGTCTGAGACCAGCCTGAGCAAGAGATACCCATCTCTACTAAAAACAGAAGAAATAAGTCAGACATTGGGGTAGAGGCTTGTAGTCTCAGCTACCTGGCAGGCTGAGGTAGGACTGCTTGAACCCAGGAGTTTAAGATTGCTGTGAGCTATGAGGATGCCACAGCACTCAAGCCTGGGCAACAGTGAGACTTTGTATCTTAAAAAAAAAGACACTGAAGCTACGAAGAGCGTCTAGAAAGGAGTAGGTCCAAGTTTTTGTTCTAGAATGGGAGAAGAGTAAGCATGTTTGAATATTAACGGGGAAAAACTAGTGTGAAGATTAAAATCATTAAGAGGATATAAAGAATATGTAAACTTTCTAAAATAAGAGAGGATAGGATCCAAGAAGAGATAGAGGTCTTGGCCTTTCACGAAAGGGGCACTCCTGTACTGAACAGGTTTAAAATCTGGGGCCAGGAAACTGAGGGAAGGCTTGCCTGATGGCTTCCATTCATCGTCTCCTCAGAATGAGGGGTGGAATGAGAGTCACAGGTTTACTGAGAAGTAAAAGCATTTGAAACGTTTCCTGTAGAGAGTGAGAGATCAAACGCTAAAAGAAATAATGTAACATTTTCATATGATACTGAGGGTTCTGGTGAGGTTGAGGACCATCCAATTTACAGTGTTATCAATGTGCCTCGTACACACACAAGTAGTGCTTAGCTGCCCAGGTGTAAAAGTGCAGTGGGTAAATGGTTCAATCCATCCATGGCTGGGTATTTTAAACTTCTCATCATCTAAAATTAACTTCTTCACTTGTGTATTAACTAGTTTGTCTCCCTGGCATGAAAAAAGGCTTTGTAGGAGCAGAAACCCTGTGTATCTTATACACTAGAATATATGCCAGCACAAAAAACAAAGCCTAGTTATATGCCCAGACAACAAGTGATTCACATGCCCTCATTAAATGAATGCATTCTCACTTGTTCTTTAAACCAAGTTATTTAGGATGGGTACCGGGCAGAAAGTTGGCCTATTTCAATTGTGTGTATATATGTGAGTATTTTAAGATGATATAACTACTGTGTCTTCTTAAAAAGATTTCAATTTTTCACTATTTCAGAATGGCCTTCTTTTTGGTCTTAATTATCAATCTGTATCAAAGAAGAATGTACTTCTATTGCAAAATATTCAAGTAGGCTTCCTCATATCAACTACTAGTCAAAATGTAAAGAATTTTTAAGGTCCCTGAGGAAGAGAACTTTCTACCACATCTAAAGTGCCTCAGATGGTTTACAGTAAGCACTCAGTAAGTATTTACTGAATGAGTGAAAGATCACCTAGGAAAAATAACACATCAACAGAAAATCACAATCACTTTTAAATTATCAACATTTTACGTCTTACCTGTAACTGCAAAATTTTCCATTTTTTTGCTAAGTCTTTGCTTTTCTTGTTCAAGCTGATAAACAACAGTTTCCAGGTCTGATTTTACAACGAGTTCCTCACTCAGTCTCTCCTTTTCTTTATTGCATAAGTTTAATTCCTGCCAATTTTAATCCTGTAATTAACATTTCTAACAACTTTATAAAATATTATAGCACTTAGAGAAGTAAAAAGGGATCTTGGTAAGCACATTTATATAACAACAATTCATGTATGTAGAGAGAGTGTGCATGTGTGTCCACATATTTTAAATTGGTCAAAAATATGGTTTCAACTAAAGTTAACTAACAATTGTGGCTCAAAGTACCATAAGATCCAAATATCGACAATGTTCTTTTGTAGGTGGTAGAAATATAAGGTCTTATATTCTCTTCTGTTTAGCATATTGCCCTAATTTTTCTAAATAATATGTAACTGTACAATAAAACATTTTAAAGTTTATGTTTAAAAAGAGGGCAGAGCTGGGCACAGTGGAATGTACTCAACAGACAGAGGCAGGAGGACTGCTTGAAGCAGGTATTGGAGGCTGCAGAGCACCACAGTCACCCTTGGGAATAGCCACGCCAGGCTGGGCAATGCAGTGAGACTCTATTTCAAAAAATAAATAAATAAAAACCAAAAGAAGGCAGTAGGAAGACACAGCACTCTAAGTACATCTGTGACTACTGGTTATTCTCTCAGCATCATCTGCACAGTGGAAAGAAGATCAGGATGCTGAGGATGCGCTGGCACGGGTGTGGAGTATTCTGCAGTGGGCAGCAGACTTACCATGGTAAATACTTACTAGATGTTAGCTGTGAAAATCATCATTATTAACATTACTGGGAAAAAGAAGCAAGGTCAGAAAGTAACTACAGCAACATCTTACCCTCAGCTGACACACTGAAACTTGTCCCAGTTCTGAGATAAGCATTATGAATCACACTCAATTTAATATGCACATAAATAGCAGTGAACAAACAACAAAAATCCCCTGCCGCCATGGAGCATCCATTTTAGTGAAAACATCATCAAAACTGACACCATGAGAGAATGTTAGGACATTGCAGCTAGACTGTAAAAATGTAAATAATGAGAAAACTTGGAAATCAGTATTAGTGTTGTTTTCAACCTAAGAGGAGACTCTTTCAATAGGCTATTCAAAAAATTCTCAAACTTTAGGTGACCACCAGTTTCTACCTGCCAGCAAGACATTTTTTTCTGCCAGTTCCAGACTATAACAAAGGTCGAACCTGCAGCCCTTGGGACACATGCTGATTTTGTGAGGACTTTTTTTGCTTTTTGTGGTTCCTGATATCACAGAAAGTACGCAGAGACCTTTTTACTGCTAATCAGCTTTTGTTAGTGTTTGTGTTATTTACTATGTGTCCCAAGAGAATTCTTATTCCTCCAATGTGTGGCAGAGAGAAAAAAAGGTTGGACACCATTGTGTAGAATTATGTGCCGTAGCTAGGCTCCTACTGAGAAGTTCTCTCATGAGAAAACTGAAATATGACTAGGAAAAAGTATCAACAAACAAGCTGTCAAAACTGGACTGAGTACTTTTTATAATAGTTAATAAATATATCAAATAACTATCAATCTGATTTTAAGTACCTACTGTAATGAAAGAATTATAACAATATTAAATCACATATCCATCCAGCATGCCATAAAAAGCATGAATACTGACGCATGCTGCACCACACATGAGCCTTGAAAACGCTATGCTTGGTGAGAGAAGGCAGACACAAAAGGCCACATATTATACAATTCCATTTATATGCAATGGCAAGACAGATGTTGTCAGGAGCTCAGCAGGAAAATAAAGCACAAACACGTTCTTTCTGATATTGCTGGCTATTCACTCTTACCCCGACTTACCAGTTCAAGTTTGGCAACTGTTTCTTCAAGATCCCGCATTTCAAAGAATTTTCTTTTAATCTCTTTCTAGGAATAAAAAGCCTATTAGGTAAACACCTAAAAGACTAAGAAAACTTATCACTAAGTCACAATGCAAATAAGACAAAATAATTTTTTCAGTAACGTATGTTCCCTCTCCCCAGTTGAGATCTGAGGCTTCAGCCCTAACAATTTCAATGAAGAGGCAAAATTGAAGATTCTCTTTAAACTTTCAGTATCTCAAATGCTTACACAAACATATTTGTGACATTTGAAGAGGGCTACTTGCAAATCTTGTGAGAATTTCCTGGGCCTTGATTTTTAGAGTATGTTTTACGGCACTGTCATTTCCTGACTTTCCTATCCTATTTGCTTTCTCCTCACCTGCTTTTACCAACCTGAATCCTCCATATCACAACTGAGAGGGCAGAATGCCAGGATCTAAAATTATACCCAACAGGAATGTACTGTTGGCCAAGCTGTCGCTTCTGAGCATTGCCAGCGGGAAACAAGGAGCTGTGTTCAGTATGTTGTGCATGAGCACAGAAGATGCAAAAGGAGGTGGAAAAAGAGAGGACTGAGATTCAGGCATGTCACAATGAAACTAAAACCACAGAGGATTCAAACTGCACTCAGCCTGTACTTTTTCAAGACTATTTTGGCGATCTAGGGTTCCCTTTGAGACTCCATATGAATTTTAGAATATTTTTCTGCAAAAATTCTATTGGGATTTTGAAAAGTATTGCACTGAATCTGTAGGTCAGTTGGGTAGTGCAGACACCTTAACAATATTACATCTCACAATCTACAGACACACAATGTCTTTCCATTTATTTGTGTCTTCTTTAACTTCTTTCAGCAAGGTTTTGTGGTTTTCAAGTATACAAGACTCTCACCTCATCAGTTAAGGCTATTCTCAAGTATTTTATTCTTTGTGATGCTACTGTAAATGGGATTATTTTCTTAACGTCATTTTTGGATTGTTCATTTCAGTGTATAAAAAAGCACCTAATTTTTGTGTGTTGATTTGTATCCTGAGCTTTGCTGAATTCATTTATCAGTTCTCATTTGTGTGGAATCTTTAGGGTTTTCTACATCAGATCATGTCATCTGTGAAAAGAGATAATTTTACATATTTTTTGCAATTTGCATGCCTCTTATTTCTTTTTCTTGCCTAACTGCTGTGGCTAGGACTTCTAGTAAGTACTTCATTGTACTCTAGTAAGTATTTCATTGAATAGAAATGGCAAGAGTGGGCATCTTTACACATTCAGCTTTTTACCATTGAGTATGATGTTTGCTGTGGGCTTTTCACATACAGTTTTTATTATATTGAGAGTTTCTTTTTATTCCACTAATAAGTGGAGATGACACTATACAAAATTAATTCAGTGACACAGAGCAACGGTCTTCAACTAGGTTATACCTACTCCTGGGATAACATGAAGATGTCCAAGCATTATGTAAAACTACAGTATACACAAAGTTTTAAGGAACAATATATGGATCTTCAATTTGCATATACCATGTACAGTGCTTCTTAAAAATAATCTAAGAACCTGCTTGTGGTCTTGGTATCATGTGAACTGTGCATTCCCATCATCCCTTCCACGGCTGACTTTCATTGTCCAAAAAAAGCATGCAAGCATATCTCATTCATGGCACAACAGCACAATGTCTCAAGATACCAACAAACGTTTGGAGAACCAGATAAAAAGATAATATGAAATGCTGGGGTGGCCAAAGACTTGATATAAGACCCTACTTACTCCCATTACGTTTCATCAAGAAATGTATTCCTAAAAACTTTTACTTTTATAATTTAATAAGTATTTATGAATACTTATATTTATAACTTTAATTATTATTCATCATTATAATAATACTATCCAAAGAAAAATGTTAATGCTTTGAAACTTATAGTTGCAGAAAATTTTTACATATAAAAAATTTCAATTCAGGCTTAGTGCCTATACACAGTGTTTACAGCGCCAGCAACATACACTGAGGCTGGTGGGTTTGAACCCAGTCCAGGCCAGCTAAACAACAATGAGAACCACAACAAAAAGATAGCCAGGCATTGTGGCAAAAAAATTCAATTCAGATACTTTTTTTCTTGCAGATGCATGATCACAAAAAGACATTTAAGGCTGTGCACCATGGCTCACGCCTGTAATCCTAGCACTCTGGAGGAAGAGGTAGGAGAATCGCATGAGCTCAGGGGTTCAAGATCAGCCTGAGCAAGAGAAACTGGACTGAGTTTGGAAATCAGTATTGGTGTTTGTTTTCAATCTTACAGGAGACTCTTTCCACCACCATTAGCTAGGAGTGGCGTATGTGTGTCCACAGTCCCAGGTACCTGGGAGGCTGAGGCAGAAGGATCACTTGAGCCCAGGAGTTTGAAGGTGCTGTGAGCTATGATGCTACTGCACTCTAGCTGGTACAACAGAGCGAGCTCTTTTACTCAACCAAAAAAAAAAAAAAGACATTCAAGTTACAACAGAATAAAATTTTGTGGGAGTTTCAAGAAGAAAGGTGATTTAAATTTATTGGATATTGTTAAAAGAATTGTGAGTCAATTTGATGTTAAGAGATTAGTATTTATAAGAGTAAAAATTCATCCTTTCCATCTATTTAAACTTAAAGATGAAAAATGAGCTACCAACTGATTTTTTTTCAGTATATAGTTTTAAAAACATCTTTAAAGGATTCGTGAGCAAGAAATGACATAGAGAACCAACTTCAGAAGTTCTCCCACAATGTAGAGATAAAAGGACAGAGATGAGAATCTTGAAGAAAAACAGAATTGGCAGATCTATCCTAAGAATAAGCATGCTTCAGAAAGATATTCAAACCACTGGGCCAATACAATCACTTAGAGGGTATAAACAACAGTTTAGAAAATCTTGAACTACCCAAACAAGAAAAATCCAAGGAATAAACCAAAAACCTGAATGCGGGTATGAAAGGTTTTGAAATCACTGTGTGAGAGCTGACGAGTGCTCCCCACAACCCGGACAGGTCCTTACCTTTGCTTCCCCCAGCTCCTTGTCAGCGGTCAGGAGCACTTCTTCTTTATGTCTTTGTAACTGCTGTGCTAGCTGGTCTATTTCGGTTAATTCTTGGCACAGTTTTTCATTTTTGTTACTTAAATTAACAACTTCAGATGTAACTGTTTCCTTGCTTTCCATAAGCTCTTGCATACGCTTCTCCAGGTCCTTATTAGCTTGCTGAAGAAAGTCAACCTATATTGAATTTATAATTTATAAGGTATATAAATTGGAAAATTGTCCTAAATACTAACTTACAAAATAATATTTCCAAAAAATTATGCTTTAAAAGATACAGCTGGCTTGGCACCTGTGGCTCAAGTGGCTGGGGCGCCAGCCACATACACCTAAGGTGGTGGGTTCGAATCCAGCCCTGGCCCGCCAAACAACAATGACAGC